AGCAAGGTGTCAACGACCCGACTTGTCCTTTATCAGTCTTCGCCCTTGACCCGACTCCTTGGATTTGCCTCTGACCACACCCCTTTTCTATAACCCTCCCCCCACCTTAGCCTGGTCTCTCCTTGACCCCGCCGCACGCCCCGCCCCGCCCCTCTATTCCGACTTCCTAGGCTGCGGCTGGTGGTCTGGCGCTCACTTCCCGGAGCTGTGCAGATAGACTTTCTCCCATCGCAGAGGCGACACACAGACCTGGGTCCCAGATTCACTAAAGCTTAGGGATCCGTCCTGCCCCTCCCCCTGGCTGCAACACTCCGCAGAGTATTGGGAGCACGCGGTGACAACTGGGTGGCCTTCAGAAGACCTTTTTTTTTTTTTTTTTTTTTTTTGCTTTGCTTTGTTTTGTTTTGTTTCTAAAAAGATCTCATGAACTGGATATATAGCTGAGGATGGCCTTGAACTCCTGATATCCTGTATCCACCTCCCAAATGCTGGGATTACAGGTGTGAACCACCATGCCCCATTTTATGCCATCTGGGAGTAGAAGGAAGAGCTTTAAGGACAAGACACTAGGCAAACACTAAACCAACTGAGCCACATGCCCAGCCAGAAGCCCCAGGTTGAAAATAAAGAGGCAGCCCTTGAGATTTGCTACCGACTTCTAAAGAAAGTGCTGTCCATCTTTACTGACAAAGACGAGGTGGTATGTGTGTGTGGGGGGGTCAGCGGACCTTCCTATCTGGCTTCACTAGTGGGTCCCCACCTCCACCTTGAACCCCTCAGGCCTGGAGCTGCCAGGCAGGAAGTGAAAATGGCCTGCAGGAAACACCAAGGGGAACCGAGACTTCTGCCCTCTGCCCTCTGCCCCCACCTGTTAGTCCCTGGGGACCCTGGGGAAACTAGAGCCTCCAGAGGAAACCCCAGACAGAAGCAGGCTTGCGGGTGTGTGTGTGTGTGTCTGTCTGTCTGTCTGTCAGACTGCTTCCCTCTGTCCCCACTTCATCCAGTGTGCTTAACTTGGGCCAAAACTAACGCCAAAGACAAGTCTTAGGGTAGTGATGAAATCAAGAGGTGGGCCCAGCATCGGTGACTGAGCCAGCCACTGCCAAGGACCTAGCTTGGTAGGTGACCCCTGTTGGGTAGGCAGACCAGGTAGGGCAGGAACTCCAGTAAAACCCGGCCCCATCACTGGCTGTGGTTTGTGTCTCAGAACCACATAATGGCTGGGTGGCGGTAGGGCATGCATTTATTCCCAGCACTCGGAAGGCAGGGGCAGGCAGATCTCTGTGAGTTCAAGGCCAGCCTGGTCTACAGAGCGAGTGCCAGGACAGGCTCCAAAGCTACAGAGAGACCAATAAATAAATAAAAATTTAAAAAAGGAACCACATGATCATGATTGTAGATAGGAAATCGTCACAACTATCAGAAAAGTAGTGTCACCCACAGAGGTCATTAGAAAGGTCAAGGCCATTGTCACTACAGTCCTTCTGGAAACAGACCACACAGAGTTTTTTTTTACAGCAGGAGGTGACACCAGCAGAGCCTGCAAAGGACCAGATGCTCAGATGGAAAACTTGATGACTGTTGAAAAGCCCAACTGAGAGTGTTTAAAGACAGAAACCTACTGTATGTGACAGTCAAGATAGAACTTACAGGAAAAAGTGGGGGGGGGTTGGTGCACACTTGTGGAGGTCAGGGGGCAACCTGTGGGAGTCAGTCCTCTCCTCCTGGGTTCTAGGATCAAACTCAGGTTGTCAGGCTTGGCAGCGAGCACCTTTACCCAAAGATGGGAAACATTGAAGACCACAATGATTTTAGCGATGAGCAAAGCACTCTGCACACACAGGCTAGTGCTTTGGGCCATGGTCAGCCCTCCTCAGCCTCCACTCTGGATTATCACGATGCACTTCCCAGCCCATGTGCAAAATGAGTATCTTGACACCATTCCCCCCACCCCAGACAGGGTTTCTCTGTGTAGCCCTGGATGTCTTGGAACTCTCTTTGTACACCAGGCTGGCTTGTCTCTGCCTCCCAAGTGCCTGGCTTATTTTTAATAATTTTTAAACCAAACATGAGTCCCTTTCCCCTTCCAGGTCTTGTTCTGAAAACCAAGTGCAGAATGGACGGGAAAACTGGATGAGAAAACCCAGAAAGCAACACCTACAGCCACAGCCATGGGGACTGATTTCACTGCCTGGCAGTGCAGCCCTTGGGGAGGGGACAGTGTCCCTGCTCCTTGCCCCCCCCCACTTGCTTTTCCTGGCTTTCCCAAAGAGCTTTGTTCTTGTCTGATTATGATGGCGATGCCAGGTTCTCTTCCTATGTAGGTCTCACCTTCCTCATCTGTGAAATGGGGACATGTGAGACCTCTCTGGTTCCTTCAGCCCTTCTCCTTTATCAGCCAGAGACCAGGAAGAGAATTTTGTATCCATCCCTCATTTTCTTCAAAAGAAGCAGGTTGAGGGAAAACCACGTACCTACCAGTGGCTCAGACGAGACTAAGAGGTCACAGGTTTCCGTGCCATGTCCCCACAGGGATTACACGGTCTTTTTCACCTCCAGAACCTAGGTCCTAGCTGTAACTGATACAGTTGGCCAGGGACAGCTCAGACAGCAATGGCTTGACTGACACCTGTCACCTAGTGTTGGCCATCTGACCTCATCCTACTCACCTAGCTCCCTGGAAAGAGGGGCGTCTTGGAAATGAATGTCCATGTCCTGGAGGCTCTGAACGCCACTGGATACTGTTTTCTAAACTAGAAAGGGGTTGGCAGGTGGGGCTAGTGCTGCCAGGCAGCTGTAGTGGGCTCAGGGAGACTGGCAGGCAGGGACAGAACTCAGCCAAGACCCTACAGAGGGATTCCATTTCTGACTCGCAGGCCAGTGCTCCTTCTAACAGAGGCTAAGTGGTGATAAGTTCCAACAAGCTGAAGTTCAGCCTCACCACGAGGAGGGCAGGACAGGAGACACGATGGCAGCTCATGAGCTCAGTGTGCCCGGAATTGGATAGAGAGGACTTGCAGCTTCAGAGAAAAGAGCATACTGTCTGGGAACAGCTTCCATGGAGTGTGGCGGGTGGGGGGTGGGGTGGGGGGGTGGTGATGTTGAGCCTGGGGCCAACCAGCAAGAGCTTGGCCAAGAAAGCCCAGTTCAAGGGGAGAACAGCCCACAGAGAAGTCTGCTTCAGAGCCACTGGCTGCCCAGGCCCCTCTATGAAGGAATGTCATATAGGCCATTGCCCTACATGCTGCCGAGTGGTTCCACCCTGGGGACACTGGACCCCAGGTGCTCTCTGGGGGGAGAATACCACCATGGTGTTCCTTCAGCTTGAGTTTAGACTTCAGCCTGAGACTACAGACTTCTTCCTATGGCTCTAGAAACTGCCATCGTGGTGAAGATGGCATCTTCTGTCCCAGCAGACTGAGTCAAAGGAATCCATGGTTATTCCTGGGTTACTGACACCTGAGACTCAGCACAGCACAGCCCAATTGTCTCCCCGACTCCCAGATTATTTCTAAAAATTGACCTTACAATTGGGTGTAGCTCCAAAAAAAAAAAAAAAAACAAGCCGGGCGTTGGTGGCGCATGCCTTTAATCCCAGCACTCGGGAGGCAGAGGCAGCGGATCTTTGTGAGTTTGAGACCAGCCTGGACTACCAAGCAAGTTCCGGGACAGCCTCCAAAGCCACAGAGAAACCCTGTCTCGAAAAACCAAAAAAAAAAAAAAAAAAAAAACCAACAACAATTGGGTGTAGCTCAGTGTAGACCACTTGTTTAGGTCTGGTCCCCAATGCCATGAAAAATAAAATGACAGAGACTCTTGTAGTAAATACCGAAGTCAAACCATAGCTCGTTGCTGTCACTTGCCTCAGCATCAAAGCAGGACAGCTCTGAAAACAAGAGTTAAAGAAATCCAACACCCAGATACAGATTAAACATCTTCCCACTAGCCTTTATTCAGATTAATTTTGGCATAATGGCACTTTTCCCTGCTAAAGGGAAAATCTCTTCCTCATAGTGCCGGTGTTAGTCTGTTTTCATAGTACTGTAACAAAATGCCTGAAGCTAAGTAAATTTACAAAGAAATACGATTGATTAGCTTACAGTTCTGAAGGCTCAAGGGCCCACCTCTGATGCTAGCCCTCTTGCTGGTAGAATCCAGAGTCGGCATAGAGTATCACATGGCCAGAGACAGGGAGTATTCACTGTTGCTTATTGCTCTGTCCTGGTGACTTTATCTGACTTTCCAAGCATACCACTTCTAAACACCAGAATGAGATTAATTTTCTAAAAATAATAATAATAAGAGAAAAAATCAAAATTTTAAAAAGATTTTATTACTATTATTTTGAGACTTGGTCTCATTATATAGCCCTGGCTGTCCTGGAACTCACTCTGTAGACGAAGCTTGACCTCTAACTCATAGAGGTCTGCCTGCCCCTTCCTCCCCAGCAGTGGGGTTAAAGGCGTGTATCACCATGGCCAGCTTACATTTTACAATTTGTGAGTGTGTGCGTATGTATGTGTGTGTGTGTTATGTGTGTGTATGTTATGTGCGTGTATGTATGTGTGTGTGTGTGTAGATGTCTGAGGAGTCCAGAGACATGAGATCCCTAAAGCAAGAGTTAAAGTCAGTAATGAGTCACATGAGTTGCATACTGGGTATTAAACTTGGGTCCTCTGGAAAAGCAATAAGTACTCTTTACCACTGAGCCATTTTTCCAGCCCCTATTTTTAACATTTTTAAGTGTGTGTGTGTGTGTGTGTGTACATATGAGGGCTGGTACTCTTGGAGGCAAAAGGCTTTGGATCTCCCTGGGACTGGAGTCACAGGCGCTTGAGAGCTGCAGACACAGATGCTGGGAAACTGACCAACTGGAGTCCTCTGCAAGAACGGTACACGAACTTAACTGATGAGTCATTTCTCCAGTCCACCACCCAGATTTTGTGGAAAGAGGTTAAGTGTTCAGTCTCTAACTCTTCAAAAAGATTAACATACAACACTGAAGTCTACCCAACCATTTATAGGCATAAGAGTTTAAAAACAATCTCAAAAAGGGCAAGTTCTCAAGTCAAAAGCTAACCCAAGAACAGTCTCATGCTGGTGGGAGTCTGTGGCCTGTAGTGTCTGTATTTCCTCTGGGTTCCCTCCAGGCAGTGGGCTCCATCCCTGAAGAGCTGAACTTTTCCAAGCCGGTGGGTGAGAGTCTGAATTCCCTCTACCACTGCTATTCCTCAGGGCCGGCTGTCTTGGTGGTCACCAGCTCAGTGGAGCCCAGTTCCGTGGCCGGCACTGGGATGCTGTGGCCCGGCAGGGTGGTGTCTGCATCTTCTTTGGGGGTAGGCCAGATGGGAGCAGAGGCATGAAGGGTTTCTGATGAGGACACGAAGACATTGTCCAGGGACTCTGGGGTAGGCGAGGGACCCGGTAAGACAGTTCAGGATTGATTCATAGCTTCCCCAAAACGCCTGCTCTAGAAGCCTCCTCTGGGACAGCCCTCAGCAGAGGAAGTGGGACAACACATGACAAGTCTTCAGGACAGGAAGTGCCGAGTCTGGAGACTTGATAAGATGAGGAGGTGGGGACACCGTATGGCCAATCCACTGGGCAAAACCTAGGACCAGGCCCCTCGGGCTCTCAAGGGCAGGGCAGACACTTTCATCCTCAAACATCTCTTCCTAGGCTATGGGGCCTCTCTGCTTGGACTAAGGCTTGGACTGTACTGTCTTCCATGTGCACTTGGACCTCTCCTAATCACCAAGAATTGTGACCCCCAACCCCCAGCCGCCCTTGTGCTCGGCTCCCCCAGACAGGGTTCTCACCTTCCTGGACTCCGTCTGGGGTGCCTGGGGAAGCCATCCTGCGCTGCTGCCGCCACCTCCAGGTCACCAGGGCCACCAGGGCCAGGGCCAGCATCAGTCCCAGGAGCGCGGGGGCGCCGAAGAGCAACCCCGGCAGCGGCAGCCTCGCATCAGGCCCGGCTCCGGTGCCCACCGACTCCTGCGGTTGCAGCGCTGTCCCGGGCGCCTGGCTGCTTGCTGGTGGCGAAGGGGATGCAGACGGAGGGCGGGGGACCAAGAGGCCGAAGGTTGGGCGGAGTAGGGACAGAGAGAGGAGGGACAAAGAGGGCGGTGAGGGCCATGGGGAAACGCGGGCCCCAGGACCAGCAGAGGGGCACGTAGCTAGCACTGGCGGGCTGGGGACCTTGGGGCAGGTCCTGCTAGTCCGCATGGTCTTGCTTACCGTGTAGAGGGTCTGGCGTGCGGAGGAGGTTACAGGCCACGCAGTGTCGCACCAGAGGGTCGAAGCACAGTGTCTGAACGCAAGGCGTGGGCATCGGGCTGTCCCGGCTTCTCCGACTTCTGGCCTCGCGTTTCCTGGCGCCCATATCCCACCACACGCAGGTGGGACAGAGTTCTGAGTCTGCTCTGTGCCCCCTCGAGTCTAGAATGAAACCCGGACGCAGCATCCTCCGCCCCGCCCTTGCCTGCTGGGGTGGGACCACTGGGGTGGAGTTGCAACCTAGCCTGGAACCCCAGACCTCTTTCACCTGTGGTTCCTGCATTAAACCACTCAACTGTCACCACAGACGACAGCTGAGCATTGCTAGCGCTGGGGGGGGGCACGGGACAGTGTCAAACTAGACCCTGCTCTTGCACAGCAGAGATTGGACTCAGTAGTCGCTTACTTCCCTCAGTCTGCGGCCTCTGCTGTGCCTCACCAAGGCCATCTGCCCCCAGTCCCTGCTGCTCCCTGCTCTGCCCTTGCCAGAGTCAAGACATCAAACTCTTGAGTGGCCAATTGGAATGACCACATTGGCGATGGGGGGACCAGATATCCTGACTCCCTGGTCTTACCACCCTCTAGTCCTCCATATCCTTGTCCTCTGCCCAGCCCTGCCTCCTTGTCCCCTTTGAGAGGGGTGGGGACAGACAGCCAGTCACCCTGAACTCCATGGGAGTGGGTAGCTACAGGGCCTAGCCTGAGGGCCACCAGTACAAGTCACCACCAAAAACGATGGGAAGCCTTGAGAAAATGGCATGGTGTTGGTGGAGAGGCAAAGTCTAGGGGCCAGTGGTGGGGTGGAGCATGAGTAAAAGCCTGGCAGTGTCCAGCGGTGGTGGCGCACACCTTTAGTTCCAGCACTAGGGAGGAGAGGCAGTGGCAGGCAGATCTCTGTGAGTTCGAGGCCAGCCTGGTCTACAGAATGAGTTCCAGGACAGCCTCCAAAGCCACACAGAGAAACCCTGTCTCGAAAAAAAATAACAAAAAACAAACAAACAAACAAAAACAAAGCCTGGTATAGCACAAATGGGAAGGCCAAAGAGTGCTGGGACTTGGGGGGCTGGGAGGGATGATAGGCTAGAACCACAGGAAGCTTGGGCTCTGGCAGCAGGGGGCTGGGGAGCTTGAAGCAGGCAGAGCTGGGGGGATCTGCAGATTAGCAGGGGACCTGTCTCCCTGCAGTTTTTCCCCGGAGCCCCATGACCCTGCTTGCTCGTGCCGTGCTGTATCAGGCGGCTCTGGTCCCCAGCCTTATCTCCCACTTGCCCTTCAGCATCTCTCAGACCCTGTCAGTCACACAAACAAGCCCCTGGGACTTGGGTCTTATGCAGCCCCCTCCCCGGGGGTCATGGGCTGCAAAGGGCCTGAAGGGAGTTCCCAACTAGGAGCTCAGGCCTGGAGTGCCCTGGTGGGCCTCAGGCGAGGGGCTGGGGGCTGTCTTTAGCAGCTTCACAGGGAAATGGCATGGGGAAGGCCTGCGATGGTGAAGGGTTGTACATGCTGGGGGTGGGGGGCAGACATGGTCTCTGCTGTGGGTGCTGGGATAAAGGGAGCACCGTTGCTGAAGATGGTCAGGCTCCAGCTGGAGAACGAGGCCCGGTGGGGGGGGCACGGAGTGTTTGAGTGTCTGAGTCTGACTCAGAAGGGCCCTTTGGCTCCATCCAGAGGCTGCATGGAGAGGCAAGGAGGCTGGTGTTCTAGTCCAGGATCGTGGAGTAAAAGAACCAAAGCGGGTCACAGGAGATCCTGGGGACCCACACAGAACCCTTGCCAGTCGGTCTCTCGGGGTTCTGGCCCATTGCCTCTCCATCCCCTTGCCTATGGGCCAGCAACTCGACAGCAGGAAGGTGTAGGCGGCAGGGTGGCTGCAAAGGAGAAGTGGGCCTGGGGAGGTGGGTGTGGGTGTGAGTGTGGGTGTACGGGGAGGGGGGAGGGAGAGAGAGAGAGCATGGAGAGGAGCCACACAGGGACAGCCCTTCTTGTAGGTGAGAGGCATGAAGGTTAAGACCAGAAGGCCTGATTGCAGGCCTCTGCTCACACCCTGCCTACGCACCAGGCATCTGTTGTGTCACACACTGGGGCCGAAGAGCCTGGGGCTCATGGGAACCCAAGGCCAGCAACCCAGCCCTGGGAGAGGGCAGCCCAGTAGGGCCAGGTTGGGAAAATTCCCATGGGCCACACCAAGGAAGCCACCCTGCAAGGGGCTGCTACTTCCCAACAGGATGGGGATTGCTAGCTGCTCAGGCTCCTGCAGCAGACAGGTCATCTCGGGGTATGAAGCAAGAGGGCTGTAACTCACAGTCACAATGACAGAGCCCTTCACTTCAGCCAGAGAGGGCCGTTTGAGGTCTGGGAGGACAGAAACAGAGTTACTCATTTGACACAAATGTTTATGGGGCATTTCCTGTGGCCCTCATTGAGACGGGAGCCAGACTGAGGCAGCGACAGCAAAGGCTTGTGGGATTCATGTCTGGCGTGTACAGGTGCCTGACCTCAGCCAGGTATTTTCACTTGTGTCTCTGTGCGGGTGGGGCGGAGGCTGCGGCAGTCCTCGAATCTCTGCTTGGATGATTTCATGGTTAAGAAGAGAGACTTGGGGGACTAATGATGTAACTCAGCTGTACAATGTTTGCCTAGCATGCACGAAGCAGCTCTGGGTTCCATCCAGTGGTGTGGTATAAATTGGGCATAATGGAATACGCTTGTAATCTCAGCATAGCACTAGGGAGGCGAGGCAGAAGAGGCCTAGAAGTTCAAGGCTAGCCTTGGGTTACATAGTAGGTTTGAGGAGTCCATCCTGGGCTACATGAGACCGAGCAAGTGAGAGCAAGATTAAGAGGGAAAGGGAGAAGGGAATGAGAGAGAAAGAGAAAAGAGGGAGAGAGAGAGAGAGAGAGAGAGAGAGAGAGAGAGAGAGAGAGAGAGAGAGAGAGAGAGAGAGAGAGAGAGAGAGAGAGAGCAGGCTCACCACCATTGCAGGCAATGTTAGGCTATACTTCAATGTATTGTTTTTTCAAAGCTGTTAATTTTTGGTTTTTTGAGACAGGGTTTCTCTGTATTGCTTTGGAGGTTGTCCTGGAACTCCTCTGAGTGCTGGGATTAAAGGCACATACCACCAACACATGACTTGCTTTATATATTTATTTATTTGTGAGACAGGATTTTTCTGCCCTGGAACTCGCTCTGTAGACCAGACTGGCCTTGAACTCAGAGATCTGCCTGCCTCTGCCTCCCAAGTGATGAGATTAAAGTCCTGAGTCACCACCACTGGCTAGTTCTGCTTTTGTTTTGCCATTTTTTTTTTTGAGAAAGAGTTTCTCTTTGTAGCCTTGGCTGTCCTGAAACTCTCTTGACCAGGCTGGCCTTGAACTCATCTGCCTGCCTCTGCCTCTGGAGTAATACTTTATGTGTGTGTGCCTAAGTGTCCACCATGTGTGTGCAAGAACCCTCAAAGGCCAGTAAAGGGCTTAAGATTCCCAGGATCTGGAGTTGCAGACAGATGTGAGCCATCATGTGGACACTGGGAACTGAGCCCAGGTCCTCTTCCTCTAGAGCAGTCAGTGCTCTTAACCACTGAGCCATCTCTGCAGCCCCAAGTTCACCCTCCACATAACATTTCTTTTTTTTTTAAACAGTGCTTTGTTTTTAAACGTGTTTTTCTTCCTTTTTTAAAAAGATTTATTTGTTTATTATGAATGCAACACCCTGCCTCCATGTATGCCTGCATGCCAGAAGAGGGCACCAGATCTCATTACAGATGGCTGTGAGCCACCATGTGGTTGCTGGGAATTGAACTCAGGATCTCTGGAAGAGCAGTTGGTGCTCTTAACCTCTGAGCCATCTCTCCAGCCCCTCCACATAACATTTCTAACTCAGGAAGAAGCCATGAAGAGTCACAAAGGGCAGAGTCTACAGCAGGTGGGCTTCTGCGTCTCCCCTGGGCTAGCATACCGCCAGTGCCACCTTCGCAAGCCAGAAGTGCATCTGTGTCACTTTTGACTACGAGATTATCAAGACGTTAGTTATAAATCCACTTGTACATTTTCCTTCCAACAGATTTTTGCCTTTTTGTTCCCCCCAGGCTGACCTCAAACTTCAGGGATCAAGCAAGTTTCTTGCCTCTGACTCTTGAGTCGCTGGGCCTAAAGACAAATCCTACCAGCCCAACCTCAGCTGCCCTTAAAAAACAACAACAACAACAACAACAATTTTTACTTTGAACAATTTACTATGACTTCAATGCATTCTTCTCTTTCTTTCTCCCCAGTGCTGAGGATTTCACCTGTAGGACTAGCACTTGGGGTGGGATGGGGCAGAAGGATCAGGAGTTCAAGGCAAGACTGATTTACACAAGACTCTTGCTTCAAAACACAAACAAACAAAACAAAAAAACCTAGCCAAATTTTTATTTTATTATTTGTGTGTATGCCTTAGGGTTTCTACTGCCGTGAAGAGACACCATGACCACAGAAACTCTTCTAAAGGAACATTTAATTGGGGTGGCTCACGGTTTCAGAGGTTTATGTCATCATGGCGGGAAACATGGCAGTATGCAGGCAGACATGGAGCTGGGGGAGGAGCTGAGAGTGGAGGAGCTACATCTTAATCCCACAGGCAACAGGAAGTAGTCTGAGATAGTGCGTGTGGCTTGAGCATATGAGACCTCAAAACCCACCCCCACAGTAGCACACTTCCTCCAACAAGGACACACCACCTGGGGCCATTTTCTTTCAAACCACCACAATGTGTGTGAGTGGAGGCACACATGTACTGCAGTGCACATGATGTCATACATGTACTACAGTGCACATGTCAGAGAACAACTCTCAGGAGTTCTGGGAGGCACATTCGGGTGTCAGGCTCATGAAGCAAGCGCCTCTTGCCAGCCTGTACACACAAGCGTGCATACACACATACACACACACACACACACACACACACACACACACACACACTCTCTTGACTATAAAATGAGGGACTTTGCCACTGAAAGTCCTTCAAATCAAATTTTTGTCTTTATGATCTCAACCTTTTTATTTGCTAAATGCTGGCTTCAAGCTCACTATGCAGCTGAGGATGGCCTTGAACTCCTGATCTTTCCACCAAGTGCTAGGGTTGTGGGCATACCACTAGTCCCAGATCAGACGCCTCTAACTCAGAGATCCGCCTGCTTCTCTGCCTCCTGAGTACAGGGATTAAAGTCCCTGATACCATGCCCAGCTGCTCCTTAAAAAAAAAAAAAGGTGATTCATTTGGGGTGGGGGCAGGGTGAGTTCTTGCTCTGAAAATTTCCCCAAAAAGCATGAGATGAAACAGGCTTTGGGGGAGCCGAGGGCTTTCAGAGGATGAGCCAGCAGGAATGAAGGCTTGGACAGGGTTGGCACCCACCTGACTGGGAAGCATAGCCCAAGTTCTTCATGCTTCAGCGACAGGGTCAAAAGTAAGGCCACTGTGTCTGTGGGACAAGCCCAGTGTGATGGGGGTGGGAGGCAGCCCCTGGGGACAGCGAGGCCCAGCCCCCCAGATCTGGATGTGAAACCGCTCTGAGACCTGGGATGTTCTCAAACACGAATGCTAGTTTTAGCTGTAACCAGGCCAGGGCACCCACATTAGCAGCCCTTCAAGACTGTAGTTTCTGAGTTGGAAGTGGTGGCCGGGCAGTCACAGTCCCCTTGCTCTGGAGACTGCTCCCTCACACACAGCCTCAGGTCCACACATGCAAAAGCTTTTTGTTCTTTCGAAACGTGAGTCATAAGATGGATTGCCCTGGGGCCTTCCTGGTCACCCTAAGTTGGCTCGGGAACTTCATACCTACCCTATCAGCCCCACCCCCATTTTTCAGAGTCCAGTCCTCAAAGTAGAGGCTCCCTTGCCCCCTCCCTCAACCCCCTTGGGCCTAGTTCTGAGAAACAAGGGTGCTGTTGGAAAGTCCCCTTCAGTGGAGACAGGGAAGGACCACGTCAGGTTTTCTGTTCACTGAAGAGGGGCAGGAATGGTGAGGGATCAGTAGAAACTGCAGGCCTGAGCAGCAGGCACCCCAGACAGAAGTGGACGGGGTGGTCCCGGTCCTCCTCAGAATGGAGCCTGCAATGGCAGGCCACGCCGTTCCATGAAGCAAGGCTCCCCCCAGGCTATCCCCAGACTCCTCTCCCTACATACCCACTGTGCGGAGCATTGTCACAGGGCTCCTGCTCTGTCCTTCTTATGCATGGCCTTGGTGTGGGGACACAGGACCTTCAGTACGAGACAAAAGACCACAAAACTTCAGCCTCTCAATGCAGGAGTGGAGTCCTGCCGGGGACGGGTGGGACACGGGGAGTCATGCATGGGACAGAGAGGTTGTGAGGTTGAGGAATGGGAATTTCCCGGCTTCATATAGGGCACGACAGAACAAGCTGTGGCTGGCCTCTGGGCCTCCTGCAGGCTCATGGGGGGCTATTTCACCATCCGGCAAGTGCCGACTCCACACTGGGCTCCACACGGGAGCAGCGAGCAGCAAAAGGGCCAGAGCTCCAGTCAGGAACCAATCTAGTAGGTGAAGGAAGAGAAGGGCTGGGGAGAAAAACTCAAGGGCACCAGGGAATGAGGGCCGTGCTTCTGTCTTAAACATTTGCTTTGGGGGACTGGAGAGATGGCTCAGAGGCTAAGAGCAGTGACTGCTCTTCTAGAGGACCAGGTTCAATTCCCAGCACCTACACGGCAGCGCACACCTGTCTTAACTCCAGTTCCAGGGGATCTGGTATCCTTATACCAATGCACATAAAATAAAGTTAACTAAAGTATTAAAAAATTTGCTTCGGGTTCTGTGAGAGGCGCTGACTCAAAAATAATATGCAGGCCGGGCGATGGTGGCCCACGCCTTTAATCCCAGCACTCGGGAGGCAGAGGCAGGCGGATCTCTGTGAGTTCGAGGCCAGGCTGGACCGACAGCCTCGAAAACAATACAGAGAAACCCTGTCTCGAAAAACAAAACAAAAAAATAATAATAATATGCAGAATGGTAGAGGAAGACATCTGAAGCTGATCTCCACACTGGCAAGCATGTGCTGGTCACCTGGACACACGTACCCTTAGGAGGAAAGGGGAGGCTGGTGCAGGATCGGGCTTTTGTTTTCAGCCACGGGAACTCCAAAGAGGCAGAGCAGTGGGGCACAACGCAGGAAAACCTGCTGACTGCGTCACAGGGCCTGCCGGTGAGACTCGAGGGCCTGGTCTCTTCTCACCTCACGACTTCCTCCTTGGCCGAGCAGCCCAGGCCTCTGTTCTAAGGGGTTGAAGTGTCTTGTTTTGCTTTAATTTTATTTTTATAAATGGCACTGGGGGGTTATGGAAACATGTGGAGGTCAAAGGACAAGTTGTAGGAATGAGTTCTGGAGATGAAATTCGGGTCGGCAGCAAACACAAGCGGAGCCATCCTATCCTGCCTTGCTGGCCCTTGTTTGGATAGGGTCTCAAGTAGCCCAGACTGGCATCAAATGCACTGTGTAGCTGGAGATGACCTTGACCTTCCACCCGAGTGCTGGGATTACCGGTCTGAGTCATCACGCCTGCATGACAGTGCCATGGATTGAACTGGGCTTTCATGCAGGCTAGGCAAGCACTTTACCGACTGAACCACACCCTGTCCCTTGTAAAACATACTGATATTGCATAATGTGAGGCCAGAGGACAAGTTTCAGTGTGTACTCTCCTGCCTTTACACAGAAGTCAAGCCAATGCGTCTGTGTCCCCCCTTGCACTGTAGGCTAGGCTGGCCTGAAAAAAAAAAATCACTGTTCCTCTCACCTCTGCCGGCTAAGTGAGCCACACCCAGCTGGGTGGAGGATCCTTGGTGCCATTCTGCAGCTTCCTTCCCTCTATAGGAATGGCCGGCCACCACCACTTAGGCAGAGACAAGTACCTTGGGTGGGCACCCTCCTGCAGAGCTCCGGGAGGGACATACAAACCACACACACCAGGTAGCTCGGGGACAAACGGACCTGTGACTTAAAGAGAGCTCTCCCCGAGGCTCGTCCTGACTCAGGTGGAGGCATCTGATAGCTTCCCCATTCAAACCAGTCCTGGAGACACCCGAGTACTCCACCTCAGCATCAGTCAGACACACTGCCAGGAGCAACCGCTCCCTGCTGTCTTCGGTAAGGTCTGAGGGCACCTGACTGCCATTTAAGTGTCACTCAGCCCTGCCGTGCAGCAGGGGCAGTCCAGCCCAAACCCCAGAGAGGCGCCTCTAGTTCCAGGGTCCCTGCCAAGCTTGGCGGGGAGCTGGCAGCAGTGGCAGCCTTAAGCTCCCCCAGCTCTTGGAAGGCTCCCAGGCCTTTGCTGGGGAATGTGATGCCACTTCTCTTGTTAAATGGCACCAGGTGGCAAAGAAAATGTGGCACAGGGACCTGAGGGAGAGATGGGCACATTGTGCTAGCGGGGCAAAGCTTCCGATCTTCAGCAGGTGACATACACAGAAGGCGTGCCCATGCTGCCTTCTCCTCTGGGTTGGGTGCCGCTCCTTCAGCCCTCCCACCCCATTTTAGGGCCCAGAGGACTGAAGGGCCTGGGGACAATGCTCTGAAGACTGCTGCTTTCTCAGGCACAAAACCCTGTGTTTTATCTCAGGCCCTCCCAGGGGACATACCACACCTTTGTTGAGCCACACATAACTGGGGACCATGCAGGGCTGCCATCCACTGGCCCTGACTATGGACACACCTTTAGTGACGTCTGTCTCATCAGCAGCCCTGCAGGCATGCTGGGTGGTGACAGAAGCTGCTGCTGCGTGAGCAGGATTCTGTGAAGCATGCAGCACTCTGCAAGTGTCAGGTGACATGTGTGGCCTCACAGGGATCTACAAAGCTAAGAGCCCTACTGGGACCCAAGGGACTGACAGAGTCAGAAAGGTAGTCTAGCTGGGTGTTGTGGTTTGCATCCTTAATCCCAGCACTTGGGAGGTAGAGGCAGGTGGATCTCTGAGTTCAAGGCCAGCCTGGTCTACTGAGTAAGTTTACTATACACATAAACTCTGTTTCAAAAACAAAGAAACAAAACCCCCAAAACACAGAAAAAAACCAAAACAAATAACAACGAAAACCAGACAGGAATGTCTAGCTCTTCATACTAGGGCAGGGCATTGGGCTGTTCTGGAAGGTAGCTACAGCCTGTGACATCCAAGCAGAGGTTGTCCCTGCCAAATATTGATGGAGGCCCTCTATGCTCTCACAGAACCTCCCAGGTCCCCATGTGTTAAGCCCCCTTCTGCAGCACTGGAAACCTTGACTGGTGCTAACCGAACTTCCCCAGCCCAATCTGGCCCTTCTACAAACTTCCCTCTGAGTCTGAGGGGAAGCGTGCAATGGTTCCCAGCTCACCTCTCACACTCTGACCTTGCTGGTGCCATTCCTGATGTGAGATAGTTTTAAGAATCAGCTCGGGGGAAGGCGAGCCAGAGAGATGGCTCAGAGGTTAAGAGCACTGGCTGCTCTTCCAGAGGTCCTGAGTTCAATCCCCAGCAACTATATGATGGCTCACAACCATCTGTAGTGAGATCTCTTCTGGCCCGCAGGGATACATGGAGACAGAACACTATTCACAGTAAATAAATAAGGCTTTAAAAAATGATTGTGACTGTTGTTGAGGCCTTGTTGCAGCTGTGCTGGGCATGATGCTATGTCTGACAGACAGACAGATCTGATCTGACAGACAGACAAGTCGCAGGAGTAATGCAGTCTCAGGCAGCAAGCCACCCGCCATTTCATTCAATCTTCTCAACATGACATGAGTAGAACCATCTCCATTTACATCAGGGAAACAGGGTCCCAGAAGCAACTGCCAGGCTATAAGAGAAGCAGGGACCAGCATGTGTCGTTTCCCTGGGCTCCTGGAAGCCACAATCTGCCCCGTTAATTGCACTGATACCATTTCTTCATTTACAAAGTCAGATACTGGGTGAGATAGAGTTTCAGGTTTGGTTTTCTTTTTTTTTTGTTGTTGTTGTTCCAAAGAAATCTGAGGTGGGTGTACCCTATCAGACAGTTGAAAACTCAGGCCTCTGTGGGGTGGGGTCTCTGTGGGGTGAGCAGGGAAGCAGAGGGCTCCAGGGGTTGGGCTCTCTCTTCACTCCTGCCCAGCTGGGCCTGGTGGAGCAGAGCTCAGTCCTGCAGTGTGCAGGCTGCCTCCAGGGCCTGTCAGGCCCTGACTGGTCTTCACCAACAGTGATTGCTTATGGAGCCGGAGCCAAATGTGGGGAGGGCAGCAGCGCTCACAGCTCCTTGGATGGGGGGCTGTCGGAGCGCCTCAGCAGGGACAGCAGGTTCACCGCTGAGATACCTGGCACGTGACCAGCGCAGATCTGCAGCATGCGTACAAGGCGTTGTGCCATGGTGACTCGAAAGCTTTCCACCTTCAGAGAAGAGAAAAGAGCAGCAGTGAGGGGGTGGCTGGCCCTGTGGCCAGACTCAGTGCAGATGCTGAGGCAAAACTAGGAGCTGAGATGCAGGGGAACCCCAGGATTTTGCCACACCTTACTATAGCTTCCTACCTTGTTTTTCAAACCTAGAGACACCCAGAGAGCCCTGACCAAGAGGAAATAAGGCAGACAAGACTGGTAAGGTCTGGCCAGGTGATAGTGGCTCAAACCTTTAATTCCGGCATGCAGGAGGCAGAGACAGGCAGATCTCTCTGAGTTCAAGGCCGGGCTGGTCCGACAGCCTCCAAAAAATACAGAGAAACCCTGTCTCATAAAACGAAAAACAAAAACAAAACAAAAAAAACCCAACCAAACAACCAAAAAAACTGGTAAGGTTAAGTACACAGTACAGGGTCACAGAGGGGTGACTGCAGAGCTGGGATCTCAACCAAGGCTAGTCCCAGCCACTGACAGGTACCCCAGGAAGACACAGAACAGTAGGTTGGATGGAGGGAGTGGCCCTCGGCACAGACAAGGACATGTCACCCACACCCACATGCCCAGGGCAGCTGGGGGCTAAGGAGCTGTACCGGATCTGGACCAGTGAGTTCTGGGCAAGTAAGAGATGCTTACAATCACCTGCCTTGCTGAAGAGCAATGGAGCTTCAACAAGGGGCCTGGGGGCACTGTCAGCCCGCCACTGACTCTGCCTCATCTCTAAGGCAGCACCATTCTACCAGCTGTCCCTGACTTGTCTTCCTGTCACCTCACATCTGACCGCCAGCACTCTGTTGACTGTCCAGGAAACAATGTCTGTGGACCATCCCACGTCACTCTTCCCTGGATAACACTGAATCCAGGCCATTCAACTCTTCAGGAAAAATTTCTAACCCTTCCTCATTTCTGCCCTCCTCTCTTTTCATCTGCTCTCACAGTCTGAGGAAAGCCATGTGCCTCCTGGGCCCAAACTTCCAGCAACTCCAGTTTTATCTGGAGCAAAGCTACAGTCTTCACTGACTATGACTTAACCCCATCATTACTGACATTTCCCATTACTCTGCTCTCCTGGCATTCAGCGACTCCTGCCCAGGCCTCCCTGGAGGGCCTTCACCACTCCAGGCAGGCTCTAGCCTTCTGTCCTTTCCATCTTCTAGACTGGCACTCTTCTGCCGATAGCGTGATGGCTGTTGCTGAGATACAAGCTCTCATTCCACCCACAAAGCTACGTCGAGGCTCCATCCCTCACACCCCAGTCTCTCCCTCTGCTCTGTCTCCCTCCCTCCCTCCCCCTCCAGAGAGGGTTTCTCTGTGTAGCCTTGGCTGTCCTGGAACTCACTCTGTAGGCCAGGCTGGTCTTGAACTCAGAGATCCACCTGCCTCTGCCTCCCCAGTGCTAAGATTAAGGGTGTGAGTTATCATCTCCCAGCTCTAGTCATTCTTTTTTACATTGCAAACAAGCAAGCACAAGCAGCCTGTCTGTGTTCCTGAGCAGAGTACAGCCAGGGTATGTATGCATGTAATATATATCATATATATATGATAGATAGATATATACACATACATACATACATACATACACCACCGTTTTGTTCTGTGTGGTTGTCTCTAATGCCTACAACGGTGCTTGGCACACAGCGTACACGTGAGCGGTATTCTGAGTCCCCCTCCTCCAAGGTCTCTATCTCCAATCTACTGCTGCTCTAATCTGAGTGCCACAGCTGTCTCCTGCCACACATGCCCCCAGACTATTCTGAAGTTATGACTCTGCCCACGTCACATGGGAAGACACGCTCTGCCAGGCTGCCCATCACCTCACTAATCTCTGAAAAGGCAGGGCCAGTGTTTGCTTTACTTGTGTTCCAAGCACCAGCACAGGCCATGTCGGTAGACGACTTGGGTGAATTGCACACCTCCTAGAGCAGTGCTTCTCAGCCTCCCTAACCCTGAGCCCTTTAATACAGCTCCCCCCACCACAACATTACTTTGTTGCTACTTCATAACTGTCACTTTGCTACTGTTATGAATCATAATGTTAAAAAGAGAGAAACGAATGGTATAATGTAAATATCTGATATGCAGGGTATCTGATAGGTGACCCCACAAAGGGTTAAGAAGTGCTTCCAAGAGTGTTTCCCAGCCTGTAAGAGAGCTAGCAACTCTTGTCACACAAAGGTTCCAACTTGATAAGACAAAAAGTATGCGCTGAGAAGGACAACAACGACACTCGGTGGAGGGGGGAGGGGCAGTGCAGAGCCAGGGCTCTTCATCTGAGGGACCTAGGCGCGTGCTATGGGCAGGTATTTGTACAGCCCTGCTGCCAGCTGGAAACAGACGGCAGCCTCTGCTTTCCTACAGCTGGCCCTATGACTTTTTCTTTCTTTCTTCTTTTTTTTGGTTTGACGAGACAGGGTTTCTCTGTATTGTTTTGGAGGTTGTCAGTCCAGCCTGGCCTCGAACTCACAGAGATCCGCCTGCCTCTGCCTCCCAAGTGCTGGGATTAAAGGCGTGTGCCACCACCGCCCGGCTTTTTCTTTCTTTTTAAAGCTACATTTAGAGAGAAAACACACGTATGCATACCCATGCATGAAGGTATGAGGTCAGTGTGCGAGGAATCATTCTCTCCTTACATGTGGGGCGCAGGGACAGCACTCAGGCTGACAGAAGTACCTTCACCTGCTGAGTTACATCACTGCTCCATTAGTCTAGGCCTCAAGCGTGGAAACTCAACGGCTGGCGTGGCCTACCACCCCATGGCCACACAGGGAACTGCAGCAGTGCCTGTCACAGCGTTAGCAGGCACCACAGTGGCTGTGGAGTCGTGAAGCAGACGATCTCAGTAACAGATCTTACTGACTCTTCAGTAAGGTGACTTGCTCAAAGTCACATGGTCAGGGGGCCAGGATGGGGAACCAGCTGCACACTAAGCAGCTGGCCCTAACTTGCTGTGTGACTGAGCAAGGTGACTCTTTTTGGAGGGTTTCCTCAGAGGCTTGCTATGAGGAAAGCCAGAAGGGTGAGACACTTCAGGTATGCCAGGGGGGCACAGGGTGTTGTCACCTATGAGAGCAGAGTCCGGATCTAGTCAAGGATTCTGAAAACAAATGTCAGTAAGAGAGACTGATGTGCAATGAACGCACACATACCCCCATCAATGGTCTGGTCTAGGGGTGATCTCGGGGGCTGTTTGGCAGCCAGAACACAGTGGTGATGAGGCTTGCCCTCACATGTAAATGACAGCTTCAGAGCCTCTCTGTGTATGAGTGCTCTGTCTGCACATATGTCTGTGCACCGTGTGTGCCTGGTGCCCGAGAAGGCCAAGGGTATGAGAACTGGGTTAAGGACAGTTGTGAGCTATTATGTAGGTGCTGAGAACCAAACTCAGGTCCTCTGCAAGAATGGCGAACACTCTTACCCAATAAGCTAGTGCCCCGGCCCCGGCAGGCTGTCTGTTGCTAACTGACACTCTTGGCTAATTCAGGAGCTCAAGTCCAGCTAGGTTAGCATGGTGCTGTGGCGCAGGGGCAAGTTCTACTTCTCATCCAAGTTCATAGAGTACCTGAATTCTGCTGTCACAGGCACAGTCCACAGACCACATAACAGGAAACCCTTGGCACAGGATTTGTGGGATTTTGTCCTGACTTGGCTCTTATGGAGTCACTACGCCTTAGGGAAGAGGTGCCAGACCCAGGACACGAGTGTTCAAACGAACCTGGAAACTAACAAAAAAATCCCTAGTTCAACTGAGCAGGTCAAGTGAGGGGGTGGGGCAGCCTGGGCCCGAGAACCTTCAGTAATTCTCCCCGGGAGCATACATGAACTCCACATATCAATGCTGGCTCAGTGGGTGAGTGTGCTCACTATACAAGCATGCGTGCCAGGAACTCTAGAGCTGTGGGGGAAAGGGAGACAGAGGCAGGAGGATTGCTGGGGCTAGACAGGCACCAGCCTAGCTCTAGATTCAGCTAAGGACCTGCCCAAGGGAATCAGGCAGAGCGTGATAGAGAAGGACACCTGACATCCTTCTCTGACATCACAGGCACATGATCCCCCACACGTGCACACAACACAGGACAAAATAAAGAGAAAGAAGATGCATACCTGCTTTGCTATGGCCAGACAGGGCTCACCTACAGAAGCTAGTCCATCTAACAAACACCCCTAGTACTTGCGGTGGGTTCTGCCCTGTGACACTACAGACAAGGTCTGCAGCCCAAGGAGATTAGGGTGACACTGGCCACTGTGACCGCCAGAAAGACCTGAGGATGCACTGGTCAATTAGACAGAAAGGACAGTTTTTGGAAGTCAATTTCTTGTACTTCCTGTTTACTCAGTTAATATTACTTCCTTCTCGGTTCACTGAGGAAGACTAGACAGTTATAGTTTTCATTGTTTACCAGACTCAGAAAAGAAACTCACTAAAGATATGTAAAGTGTGAAAGGTTAAGAGACATCAAAAGATAATTTGATAATGCAAATTCGATAGAAAGTAAATTAGGTACAAGACTTTGAACTCACCAAGATAGGATAGATATTGGAGTATTTTCTCTGAATTTGTCAAATGCAATGGACTAGACATTGCTGATGTACTTATTGCCTGTACATACTGTATATAGTTATTGTACTTAGTGTATGTAGTTTTTCTTATATTAGCTGTAACTTTTTATTTTTATAAAAAAAAGTGGATATGTGGTGATATTTTGTTTGTACAAGTAAAGCGAGTCTGAAGACACAAGGACACCTCATATCATAAGTACTTATCCCCCAGTAGGAGAGTGCAATATTAATAGGAACTTTGAAATATGCAGGCAGGACTTAAAAGCTAAGCCTTAACCAGAATTACCTGCCTCCCTCCATACCCACCTCACCTGGATACTTGGTGATCCTTCAGCGTGCAATCGATACGTTCACTGTGTTCTCACTGCCCTCTCCTTGTACTGAATTATAATACTGGCCACAACGACCAGGGTTCTCACCTCTAAGTCGCAGAAGAGCAAAGGGCTTCGGTAGGTGTGGGCCAGTTTTATAACTGTGTTCTGGTGAACGCTGCAGTGGCTCTCCCGTCCAGCTGCAAAGAAGCCAGGTACACTTCAGACTACATCCACCAGAGATCCCCTGCCTCCGCCTCCACCTCCCAAGTGCTGGGATTAAGGCATGCACCACCATGCCTGGCTACTCCTTTCTGAGCAGTCAAGACCATCACATTAGACTACATGGCTGGAAAGCTTCATGTGCTCTAGGGATAATGGAGTTTCTTCACTTTGGGTTTTTTTGTTGTTGTTTCTCTGTGTAACAGTCGTGACTGTCCTGGAACTCACTTTGTAGACCAGGCTGGCCTTGAACTCACAGAGATCCACCTGCCTCTGCGTGCTGGGATTAAAGGCGTGCGCCACCACTGCCTGGCTGAGTTTCTGCACTTTTGAAATAAGGATAAGAGCACCCACTACACAGAGCTTCAGTCAGTGAGCTGATACAGAGGAACCCTAGACACTCACCTGTTTACCAGTATTCACCACCATCATCAGCATCAGGGAGAGACCCCCCCCCCTCTAGGAACTTACTGTGATCAGACAGTCACTGACCCTGAGCAGAGTGTTTCAGAGTTCCCAAAGGAGTTAGCAAGACAGAGAAGAGAAACAGTACCTGACAGGAGTCCCACAGAAATCACTCAGAGGACAGTCTTGACGCTAGGCATGGTGGCACACAGAGTTTGAGGATAGCCTGTGTTACATATTGAGTCCCTGTCTCAAAATGAAACACAGCAAAAACCCAAACAAAAGAAGGTGAAGGCCCAGGGCTATAAAGCCTGGCTCTCTACTGTTGAGAGATAGGGCCCTGGGCAAGCCAGGTAACTTATGCCCAGTTTCCTGAGCTGTAAATCTGAGTTAATGCCTACCTCAAAGACTATGGCAATAAAATCCCAGAGTGTCTGGTGCACAGTGAGAGCCAGCGACGACCAGTGACACTGCCTCATCTCAGGGCCAGCAGGGTCTTTTCCAGAGAACTGCAGCTGACCCAAAGAATGAGAGGGAAGGAGTGGAGACCGACACAAAGGCAGAGGCCAATCGGAAAATCCTTGAGACATGATCTCCCCGGGTTGTCAAGCTGGCATTGAGCTTCAGTAATTCCCCTACATGCCGTCCTTAACCCTTGGATCTTGTAACTTAGCATCATCCAGTGTGCTGAGACTGTAGGTGTGTGCCACTTCCAGGGCTACTTTGTATCTGTAGAGGAACTCCAAGCAAGAGCAGGAGTAGCTACTGGGATCAAGTTAGAAACAGTGACTGGTTTAGTGGCCCAGGTCTTTAATCCCAGCACTCAGAGGCAAAGGCAGATGGACTTCTGTGAGTTTGAGGCTAGCCTCATCTACACAGTGAGTTCCAGAACAGCCACGGATACACAGTGAGACCCTGTCTCAAAACAAAAGTACATTCTTAAATGGAGGCTGGAGAGATGGCTCAGTAGTTAAGGGCACTGACTGTTCTTCCAGAGGACCCGGGTTCAACTCCCAGCACTCATGGTGGCTCACAACCATCTATAACTGAAACTCCAGTTCTAGAAGATCCCATAGATCCCATGCCCTCTTCTGACCTCCTCAGGCAAAAGAAAAATAAAACAAGTCAGTAGTTGGGTAAGGAGACCTCTACAGGCCGCCTCAACAAGGGTCCCAACTGCTAGCTGGGGTGGGGCGCAGAGGAAAGGGGTCACACTCACCCCCTGTGGCGAGGAAACACACTTTCCCCAGGAAGAAGCTGCTGTCCACGTGGCTCAGACACTCCTCCACGTTCCGGAGGCTGCGATACAAGGCCAAGTGAGAAAACAGAAGACAGAATTTCACAACACAGCCCTGCCAGCCTGGTCTACACATCAAGTTCCAGGACATTCAGGGACACTTAGAGAAATCCTGTCTCAACAACAACAATACCCGCCCCCATGTTGTTTTTATTTGTTTGAGTTAGGATGTTTGTTAGCATCCAGGCAAGTGCAAACCTGGCCCTACCCCTTGGGAACCGGGGGCAGTTTCCGGCTTTGTACACAGTTGCAAGGGCCTGTAAGACGCGGCTCCACTCACTTCGGCTCTCCTTGCTGCCACTTCTCTGAAGAGGCAGATAGGTCTCTGTCTCTCTCCTCTTTCTTTCCCTTCCCCCAATAAACTTTGCACACAAGTCCTGCCTGACTGCATATTTGTCTCTCACGGCCATGTGACCCACCAAAGGTCCCACCTCACACCATATTCATAACAATGTCTCTGCGTAGCTCAAGCTGGCCTGTCTCCTGATCATCCTGCCTCAGCATTCTGAGTGCTGGGACTATGACATACACCATTATGCCTAGCTAAATCTGGGTGATTTTTTTTATTTATTCATCATGTGTGTACACACATCCATTGAATGTGTCATGAGGTACTTTTGTGGGTCAGAGGACCATATTGAGTCCTGGGGTTAAACACAGGTTTAAGCTAAGCCATCTTGCTGCCTACCTTCCCCCTTTTGAGTCAAGATCTCATGTAGTTCAGGCTGTCCTGAAGACGACCTTGAACTTCTGATCTTCCTGTCTCCATATTTCAAATGCCATATCCCCCATGTTTTATTTTAAACTATGTGTTGACTGGTGCTTGCATGAGTTTAGGTGTATGCATGAGTGCTGGTGTCTGTGGAGACCACAGGTATTGGATTCCCCAGAGCTGGAGTTATAGTAGATTTTGAGTCTCCCGCTTTGGGTGCTTGGAACCAAACTTTTTTTTTTATGAGACAGGGTTTCTCTGTATTGTTTTGGAGGTTGTCGGTCCAGCCCAGCCTCGGACTCACAGAGATCAGCCTGCCTCTGCCTCCCGAGTGCTGGGATTAAAGACAGGGAACCAAACTTTTACAACCACTGAGCCGTGTGTGTGTGTGTGTGTGTGTGTGTGTGTGTGTGTGTGTGTGTGCACGTACATGCACGCATGAACTCTTCAGAGGAAACTGGTGCCAACAGTTGGGGGTGCAAATACAGTGGTGTGTTTAAACACCTGTGTCTTTCTCAAATACTGTCCTATATACTATCCAACTTCTGACTGCTGTAGTTTTGACATGGCTTAGTGCTAAGAGGTCATGTGCTGAAATTTAGCCCCCAGTGTGGGAAACCTCAGCAGAGCACTGGCCCACAGTGCTACAAACAAGATAAATAAAACAAGGGCTGGGCTGGAGAGACAGCTCAAAGGTTAAGCACACTGACTGTTCTTCCAGAGGACCCGAGTTTGCATTCCAGAACAACCCCCCCAATAGCTCAACTGTTTGCAACTGCAAGTGCAGGGGGTACCATGCTCTCTTTTGGCCCCCTTACGCACTAGGCATGCGTGTGCTAAGTGAACAGGCCACACGGTCATGGTTTTGTCTTTCAAAGCCTGCAGTCCTCCCTCCTTACCCTGGACAGCCTCTCACTGCCTCCTGCTTTCCTATTGTACAGTAACTGTCCCAGCACAGGTCCAACTAGGTCCTCCAGAGTCCCATCCTGCCTCTCACCTGTATTGGCTGTGAAGGTTAATTACAAACACAATCAGGTCAATTCGGGGCCGGTTCACATTGGAGGGCAAAGGCAGGGAGTTGGCCAAGTGGCTGAAAAACAAGAAAGTGTAGGACTAAGACACACATACCCACGTCACAGCGACTGTCACATACTGTCCTTTAGGGGAAAGGAGCTGCCTCAGAGGGAGCCCAGCACTACCCAGTTGGTGGGACACAGCCAGCTCTACCCAGACCTCTCTAGGAGGGGTGCTTGCTGAGATGGCTAAGGGATAAGACTGAATCCCTTTGGTATGAGGTAGATGCAGGCTTGACCCAGGTTTGTCATTTGCTAGCTATAAGTTGCCAAACACCCAACCTGAAGGCCTTTCTTGAATTCTCTGCCCATTCTTTGTATACATCAAACTCTCTTTCTCTCTCTCTCTGAGACAGGGTCTCATTATGTAGTTGTCATGGAACTTGTTACATAGACTAGGTTGGCCTTGGCCTTGAACTCAGAGATCCTCTTGCCTCTGTCTCCCAAGCTCTGGGATTAAAGGCCAGCACTAACATGCCTGGTCCATCACACTCTCTCTTAGATTATAATTCAATAACTACAAAAAGTATAACATTTATTTTTAAAATTGTCATAGTTTTTTCCTAAGACGTGGTCTTACGTAGCCCAGGTGTGGCATCTAACTTTCTATGTAGTAGAGGCTAACCTTTGAACCCTGATCCTTTTTGCCTCTATTCCAGGTGCTGGGATTAGTTCTGTGCTATTATGCCCCGAATCTCCCTCTTCTGGCTTCTTTGGTAGCTGGGATTACAAACTCACTGTTCAAGGGCAAATGAATTTCTAAAAATTCTTTTCTCAGGCCTGGAGACGTGGCTCAGTGGTTAAGGACAAACACTGACTGCTCTTCCAGAGGACCCGGGTTCAATTCCCAGTGTCCCCATGGCAGCTCACAACTGCCTATTACTCCAAGATTTCACACCCTCACACAGACATATATGAAGGCAAAACACCGATACAACATAAAATAAAGATAAAAATAAATCCTTTTCTATCTGAGTCATAGGATTGGTCTGGTGTTAATGTGTTTCATATTCTCAAGCCTGGCAAGGTTAGAAAAGGGAAGACACAGTAATTACTGTTCCTCCGAAACTGGGGGCACTAAGGACTTCTCAGGATTTTGTTGCAGGTACACCACACACCAGGACCTTTTTTTTTTTTTTTTTTTTTTACAACCAGTGAAGCTTTAATTCATCCCCGTAGACTAGCTCACCTTCACTTCACCATGCCACCCTCAGGAATCCCTGCTTTATGATTCTACTACATTTTTCGGATCATGAATTAACCAGAGTAACTCAACAGTTATTAACTGAGCTACTCTGTGTTAGTTACTGCATAGAGCTTTGGGGGCTCGCCCATGAACGAGAGTCAAAAATCTTTATCCTTAGGGACCGATGTGGTGTGGTGTGGTGTGGTGTGGTGTGGTGGTGGTGGTGGTGGTGTTGTGTGTGTGTGTGTGTGTGTGTGTTTGGGGGAAAGACCAGAAAAAAGTGAACAGGCGGGGAGGTGACTTCTTTGTGTTTTGGGTTGTTGAGACAGGGTCTTAAGGAACCTAGGCTGGCCTGAAACTGGATATCACCCTCTCATGTTGGGCTCTAAATAGTGTTTATTTTCCACTCTCCAGGGGTTTTGGTCACCCTCTGGAGAGTGTTCTGTCTGCATGTATCCCTGTCGGCCAGAAGAGGGCACCAGATCTCATTACAGATGGTTGTGAGCCACTATGTAGTTGCTGTAAGAACCAGTGTTCTTAACCACTGAGCCATCTCTCCAGCCCCATATTTTTGTTACCTTGACACAATCTAAGGTGACCTGGGAGTCTCAATGAGGATATCCTCTCTTTTTAGTTTCTTAATTGGGCCGAGGAAGGCAGATGGGCAAGCATTCCCTCCTGCCTTTTGACGGTGAACGTCATGTGACGGACTCCTCACAGGTGAGCATGTCTTTTCTCCCCTAAGTTGCTTTTGCCGGAGTTATTTTATCTTTTGTCGCAGCAAAAGGAAACGAAACCAAGACACATACCTCGGCTTTGTTTTTAGGCGCTGACGACCATACCCAGAACTTAGACGAGTAGGTGGGTTTCGGGCGTTAAATGTGTGACTCGTGAACATTTGCAGAGACTTGCCAAGGAGTCAGCTCCGCAAGGGTGGGCAGGACCGGGGGCGGGGGCAGTTGGGAGGAGTTGGGCTCCCTTCCCTTCCCCTCAGGCCAGCTCAGAGAGTTCAGGCCACACCTCAGCAACTTACACCCTCAGCTCAGACGCACACTGTTCCTGGAGCATCGACTCCGCCAGCTTCTGCAGCAGCGCATCCTGCGTGCCCACCAGCTGCGGAGGGAGAGAGCCAGACAGATGCAGATGCGAGCAGGGCGGCGCCTCTGGAGGGCCCGGCACTTTGGATCCCTCCTGGGGGTACACACCCAGCCAGAGGCGGCTCGGAGAGCTCCATGTCCCGAGAAGGGGACCCCGAGGAGCCACACTCGGTCCGACTCTCTCAGAGAGCGGGAAACCCTAGATCGAACTGGGACGCCCACTCCAGCGTGTTGCAGAGCCAGCCGCACGCCTATTGGTGGAGCGGCACTCGGGCCGCCGCTCCGATTGGTTCAGAGTAGTACGCCCGCCCACCCCGCCGCCGTCCGAGCGTGCTGTGGCTGAGGAAGCACACAGGCCTGGGCTTGCGGGAAACCGGCCCGGGGGCGCCGCCCGCACCTACCAAGACGGTGGCCCTGTTCAGGTCAGGCAGCTTGTCCATAGGCCTCAGCACCGACATCTCAGAGGCAGCCGAGCCACCCAGCTCAGCGCGCCGACCCTTCAAACCGCCCGGGGCCCGCCTCCTGGGGGCGGGGCGGGGCTTGCACGTCTGGGCGGGGCTTCCTGCCAGCCCGCGCTCTTAAAGAAACCGCTACCTCTTTGCCTGCCCTTCCCCCAAAGATTCCTTTTATTTTTAATTTTATGCATATGTGTGTGTGCGCGCCAGAGTTCACGTGAGTAGTGGTGGCTGCAGAATCCAAAGAGGGAGCTGGAGTCCCATTGGATTTACAAGCGGTTCTGAGCCACCTGAAAAGGGAACTCAGGTCGCAAGGACGGTGTGTGTTCTTTTAACTGCTGAGCCATCTCTCCATCCCTTACCTTTCTCCTCTTAAAAAAAAAAGATTTATTTCATTATAAAGTTTTCAATTTAATTTAATTTTTTTATGGCTCTGATTGTTTTGTTTACATATGTTTGTGTGTACCACGTGCACTGTGCCCGGAAGAGGGCATCGGATACCTTGAATTTACAGATTGTTGTGAGCTGCCATGTGGGTGTTCCGAATCCAACCTGGGTCTTCTGGAAGAACAGCCGGTGCTCTTAATGGTTGAGCCATCTCTCCAGGTAACTACGGCTCAGGTCTGAATTCCCACCTGCCTATTGCTTAGGGCGTGAATTCTCCCGACCCTGGTCCTGTAGCCCCTCCCCTTCCCCACCTAGAGTGGAAGTTCCAAATGTATGATTTTTTTTGTTTAAGTTCCTAAACTTTAACTTCTCTCCTTAGTCTGTATCTGTCTTAGCAGATTTCCACTTGGCTGACAGACACCGTCCAGGAATCAGCCGTGGACTACAAACTGTTCCAGTTGGCTTTGAGCCCTGGGCTTGATGAAACTGTGGCGTGGACTAGTCCAGCAGATACAATTGCTCCCCTCTCTACAGCTGGGTCAGTGAGCCAGATGCTTCTGATGAATGCCCATTGCCTGAAGCCCCTTCCGGCCTTTGATTTCAGCGGGAAGTAGTTACAGAAGAGAGTACATTACACCTGATCCTCTACAGACGGCTGGAATATTAAGTTAATAGGAAACTCCTTGGCATAGGAGACAAAATGGCTACCTATAATGCCTTTTGGAGTACAAGGGAAGGTACCTATTAAAACCAAACAGATCCAAACTTATCGACAGACAAATTAATTAGCTGAAATAGTTCTACAATATGATAGGGCACTCGGTCTGCTTTATGCAGGACAAGAAGGTTATTTGGTTTTTTTGAGACAGGTTTTCTCTGTGGCTTTAGAGCCTGTCCTGGAACTAGCTCTTGTAGACCAGGATGACCTCGAACTCACAGAGATCCGCCTGCCTCTGCCTCCCAAGTGCTGGGATTAAAGGCGTGCGCCACCACCGCCTGGCAAGAAAAATTCTTGTTTCTATGCAAACCACTTGAAAACCATTAAAGAAAATTGCCAACTATTAGAGCTACTAACAGTGGAGAAAGGTGGCCTTTGCCTCTTCCTCAAGAAGGAATGTTGCTTCTATGTCAACCAATCAGTTATAATAAAAGACAAAATCTGACAACTCCAGACAGATCTCGAAGAATACTCTAGCCAGTGGATTGTTAACAGTCCAATGTGGCATTGGAGTTTACCTTTTTTTTTTTTTTTCAAGATAAGCTTTCTCTGTGTAGTCCTACCTGTCCTGGAGCTCGATCTGTAGACTAGGTTGGCCTTGAACTCACAGAGATCTGCCTGCCTCTGCCTCCCGAGTGCTGGGATTAAAGGCGTGCGCCACCACCACCCGGCTGACCTTACTTTTTTTTAAAGAAAAGTTCTCACCCTGATAGTGGTGGTGCTTTCCTTTAGTTCCAGTACTTCAGAGGCAGAGGCAGGTGGATCTCTGTGAGTTCGAGGCCAGCCTGGTCTACAAAGTGAGTTCTAGGATAGCCAAGGCAGTTGTACAGAGAACCCTGTCTCAAAAAAGAAACAAATGTCCTGCTCTGGATGAAATGACAGACTATGGATACCCCCCATGGAGGGCCTCACCCTCCCTGGGGAAAGGAGTGGAGATTGGGGAAGGGGGGTTGGGAGGGTTGATGGAAAGGAATGGGAGGAGGGGAGGGAAAGGGAGAGGGAGCTGGGATTGACATGTGAAGCAACCTTGTTTCTAATTTAAATTTAAAAGTAAAGAAATAAAAAACAAAACAACAACAAACAAAGAAAAGTTCTCACTCTCTATACTCCAGACGCCTTAATTCACTATGTAGTCAGGCTGACCTCTGCCTCCTGAATGCTGGAATTACAGGTGTGCAGCTCTTTGATCTTGGTTCTTACTTAGGATCCACATCCAGTGAGTTAGAAAACTTTGTGTTTGTTCTACTTTGTCCCCCCTTTGGTTTCCCGAGACAGAATCTCTCTGTGTAACCCTGGCTGTCCTGGAACTCACTTTATAGACCAGGATGGCCTCGAACTCACGGAGATCCGCCTGCCTCTGCCTCCTGACTGCTGGGATTAAAGGTTTGCACCACCATGCCCAGCTCTGCTCTACTTTAAGGATACATCCCATCACTTCAGTACCAGCTAGGACTGCCGCTGTCATCTGCCACCTGGACCTTGTCACCAGCTCTGTTCTCTCACTAAGGTTCCCAGGGCAGCCAGCTATTCTCCCCATAGCATCTGGGTCCTTTTGAGACAGAAGTTAGAACATGAAACTTCCTTGATCCTAACTAGCCTATGAGTCCCCTTCAGTGTGCTGCAAACTCCTGGCATGATCCCCAGGTGTCCAGGCTCCCTTCCCTGAGCTCATTCATCTTCTGCTCTTTGCCCTCCAATGCAGAGCCCCCACCATCACAGCAGCCCCGCCCGTCCTTGTCCCCTGGCTTCATTGGTGCCTCTGCTCCAATTTCAGCTCATCACAGGCCTTGTTCTCTCTCTCTCTTTTTTTTTTTTTTTTTTTTTTGGTTTTTCGAGACAGGGTTTCTCTGTGGCTTTGGAGGCTGTCCTGGAACTCGCTCTGTAGACCAGGCTGGCCTCGAACTCACAGGTCTTGCTCTCTTGTGTGGCTTTCGTTTTGATTTTGAGACAGGGCTTTACTCTTGAGATGCCAGTTGGCCTCCAACTCTGGGCAATCCTTCCTGCCTCAGCCTCTTCAAGGGCTGGGATGATAGGAGGAGCCACCAAGGCCAGTTAGAGGGGGTGGGAGGCTGGGGGGGGGGGGGTGGGGTGAGGGGAGGCGGGGGGGGTTCCTTTTTATTCATTGTACATTTTGCTTACTTACCTTGTGTGTATATGTGGGCACGGGTGCCACGGTGTGTGAGGAGCTCAGAGGACAATCTCTGGTATTTGGTTCTTTCCCTCCACCATGCAGTTCCTGCGTAATAAACTCAGATTCTCAAAGTTGGCAGCAAGCACCTTTACCCATGAGGCCATCTCACTGGCCTATTTTTATTTTTCTTAATATAAATTTTATTTAAATTAGAAACAATCTTATTTTACTTATCAATCCCAGTTCCCTCTCCCTCCCAGCTTCCCATACCCACCAACTCCCCAACCCCCCTCCTATGTATCTAGGCTGAGAGAGTATTCCTCCATGGGGGAATGGGATCCCAGAGTCCATTCGTGCCCTAGGATAAATACTGATCCACTACCAGAGGCCCCATAGATTAACCTGACCTCCAAACTGACACCCACATTCAGAGGGCTGGATAGGTCCTATGCTGGTGTCCCAGCTATCAATCTGGGGTCCATGAGCTCCCAGTTGTGCAGGTCAGCTGTTTCTGTGGATTTCTCTAGTCTGGTCTTGACCCCTTTGTTCATCACTCCTCCCTCTCTACAACTGGATTCCAGAGTTCAGCTCAGTGTTAGCTGTGGATCTCTGCTTCTACTTCCATCAGCTACTGGATGAAGTCATTTAAGGTAGTCATCAATCTCATTATCAGGGAAGGGGATGAAGGCATTTAAGGTACTCATCAATCTTATTATCAGGGAAGGGCATTTAAGGTAGCCTCTCCACTGTTGTTTAGATCCTTAGTTGGGGTCATCCTTGTGGATCTCTGGATATTTCCCTAGTACCAAATTTCTCTTTAAACCTATAGTGGCTCCCTCTATTAAGGTATCTCTTTTCTTTCTCTCTTCTCTTCTTCCAGGACTCAATTTTCATAATCCCTCATGTTCTTCTTCCCCTTCTCTTCTTCCCCTCCTCTCCCCCCCCCCCAAAGGGAGCTCTTGTCCCTTTTTCCTTCTCTGGGGAACCACGTATGTCTCTCTTAGGGTCCTCCTTGTTTCCTAGCTTCTCTGGAGGTGTGGATTGTAGGTTGCTAATACTTTGCTCCTGGTCCATTTAAAAAATTTAGACTATGTTTGGTATTTTTATTTTATGTGTATAGATGTGTTTCCCATACATGTATGTCTGTATACTATATGTATACAGTGGCCATGGACGCCAGAGAAAGGTACCAGATTCCCTGGGGCTGGAGTAACAGATGCTGTGAGCCAGCATGTGAGTGCTGGGCCTTGAACTCAGGTTCTTTGGATGAGTAGTCAGTACTCTTAATCACTGAGACATCTCTCCAGCACCCAAAAATGTTTTTTAAAGCACATATTAGTTATATGAAATGCATAAAATATATAAGTATTTTGGTCTCCTCCCACTCCCAGAAATCTTCCTCTGAAAGACCTCGGCATCAAAGCGCAGGGCACTGAACCAAACCCTCTGCCCAAGAACCGGGGCCAGACCACTGGCTGCAAATGCAAGAGGTGATTTATTGAGTACACAGGTGCCTGCGGATGCTACTGCAACTCGGGTGCAGAGCATACCGGGCTTTCAGGGAGTACAATATTTATAGAGTTTCAATGGTTACATAAGTAACAGGCATTTCATTGGCTCATCTTGGGGGCAGGGGTAGTTCCCACGGACTAAGTTTCCTGGTATTACTTTATGAAAGACCCAGGCATACTTCAGCAATTATTATCCGGGTCCCATGACTGCTATAGTGATCACAGACATCCTGTTTTGAGGGTGAGACACCTGGTCTGGGTTTCTTTCATTAGGCAACAGCCTGGCCTTGCTTTTCTTTTCCTAGGGGGTCCTGGGTAGGGGTCTTTCACCTCTTCCTAAGTAGTTCCTAGAGGAGCCTTTCTTTTTTTTTTTTTTTTCTCTTTGTTTTTGAGACAGGGTTTCTCTGTGTAGCTTTGGAGCCTATCCTGGAACTCACAGAGATCCACCTGCCTCTGCCTCCTGAGTGCTGGGATTAAAGACATGCACCACCACTGCCTGGCCTAGTGGGTAGCTTTATGGTGGTTTGCAAACATGTCTACTCTTTGCTCAGGAGGGATTATGACCTTATACATTCTGATTCTCTTCTGCAAAGACCTGGATACAAAGCTTCTGGGATCTTTTTTTTTTTTTTTTTTTTTTTTTTTTTTGCCTATCCAGCAAGAAACATCCTGAATGTTCAGGGCATACAGCAGATTTCTTTCTTTTTTGCATTGATGTTTTGCCTGCCTGTATGAGGACATCAGATCCCCTGGAGTTACAAATAGTTGTGAGCTGCCATGCAGGTATTGGGAATTGAACCTGGGTCTTTTGGAAGAGCAGCCAGTGCTCTTAACAACTGAGCCATCTCTCCAGCCCTTTTTTCTTTTAAAAATGTTTTTATTTCTTTTTTATGTGCATGAATGTTTTGTCTGTTCGTGTATCACCTCAGGAGGCCAGAAGAGGGCATCAGACTCCCTTGGAACTGGTTATAGATGGTTGTGAGCACTGTGTAGGTTCTGGGAATTGAACCTGGGTCCTTTGCAAGATGAGCTGGTGCTCTTATCCACTAAGCCATCTCGCCAGCCCATAGATGGCTTTTTTGTTTTGCTTTTGTTTTTGAGGCAGGGTCTCACTATGAGGTCCCAGCTATCCTAGAACTCTCTATCTAGGCCAGGCTGACTTTGAACTCATAGAGATTGCCTGCTTCTGCCTCCCAGTCCTAGGATTAAGAGTGTGCACCATTATACCTACCTTAGATTGTTTCCTTAACAATATGGTTTTTTTCTATTGTCTGTCTGTCCAACTAAAGATGTATGAGCTCAGAGACTTTGTATGTCCAACTCATTCTAAAAGTGGTACATTGTAGTTGCTAATAAATACTTTCTGAATGCATGAACTACCTTACCTACATCCATCCATTCATTC